ATACTCAAATATCAAGTAATCGAATTATCATCATAAAGTGAAAATATCCTTTTACTGGTTGACAGTTTCTACAATTCTCAATAGGATGGCAATTATTACTTTTCATTTGTTAGGGTATTTGTCTGACCTCCTAGCGGCTTTCAACATAGCTGATTGTTTGATATATTACTAGTTAACGAGACATGCACGGTCACTAATATATAACTGTTATTTGGTGTATTGTCTAATGATACGACAATTGTCAGTCTCATAGATAATATCAGCAGGTATGGTATGCATTTCAGTCGTCTTAATTGACATTGTCGATAGACAACATGATTGTATTCAATTATTTACTTTATAAGTATAGAACTTAGCATTTGAATTGAAAGAAATCCTTATCAATACTCGGATCACATTTTTATTAATTCATTGAAATTACTCTTGTTAAAGAACTTGTCAGCTGGGGTATTTCCTAGATTCCTAGATAGTTTTGTGGGATATTCTTCTTTTTGGTATATCATTCACACATATGTCCATGTACACTACTCGCGTAGACAATATCAAAGTGTTTAATAAAACGATTACTGTAGCTATGTATCAACATTAGATCTTTATCAGTAGATACCGCACATACCCCTCTTACAAAAGAGCTTGGAACACAAATAGAAAACCAAGAACTAGCCATAACAGACACATCATTATAATAGTATATACGAACGTTCCTATTAGTCGTTTAGAAGTGAGATCACATTCTTTAGTAATAGTATCATAAAGTACCTCATCGCTGACTTCATAATTAGAATATTAACTTCTGATATTCAATAAGCTCTAAATAAAATCCTTTTGAAAGAGCAACGTATCTCTAAAATTATTCGAATTTATGTTTCTGCACGCAAATATTTCAAATATCAATATTTATATTACCGACTGGTCATCCTCACATACTTTACTACCTACCGCCCTTTTAACCTGGTAGTCTACAATAGCCAACTCGGTGTTTGGAGATCTGTCCTGCAACTTTGTTACTGAAATGGCATTTCCTGCAGCAAAGTATCCGCTCTCTTCTAGGAGCCAATCCTCTTTCTATGTTTTTGAAATATTTTAGATGACATGAGTATATGATGTATGTGACAAAACAATTTTAAGAAAACAACATGATATGGTTTATCTAATGGAGAGCAATTCATGTTATTTAGTTAATAATTCAGCATAGTTATTCATATCACAAAGAAACCCAAGTAATGATACAAACCAGTTACGTTTCGTAATACAGAATATATTAAACTATACTTAATCTTGGTTATCGATGAATGTTACATATATGCTAATATAAAAGAACGTGTCAGTTATTACAAACATCTGTTGGTTTTCCGAGGACGACGATGTTTTCACAGCTGTAGTCAAACACCATTGTCCAGAAGTCATCGATGGTGTCCACTAAAGGAAACTGTGTCATCAGATACCCCGACATCGAAGTGTGTGACTGCAGAAAGTGAATGACTGAGCTTATCATGAAGCACAAGAGAATTGACAAAAGTTACGGGTTAAACATCTTGCAACTGCCAGGGTCATATGGACGGGTGTCTTAGGAGGCAACGCTGGGGAAAATGATTTAAATAGACAAAGAAAGTAGACATAAACGTTTGTAAACGAAAACAATCCCAAATGTTGCAAGGGGGGCAACACATCAGTTATGTATTGCCTTTTCCATATCCTCTTAGTAGAAGACTCTGAAGAAAACCGTTGATATTGTAGGGCTCCGCATTAGACACTATTACGATACACATGCAGTGGGATATACTAGGTCTCATTTTGGTTTATTTTATGTCCTCTTAATAGAAAACAAGAAAGAATCCAACCCAATTATGTAAAGGGAAACCGCAACAACCGTCTCTTATAATCCAGCAGTGACATACAGCATACATCTTATTTTAACCTTCGAAGATTGAGGTATGTACATTGGGCGCTAAGTATCTCTTTTGTGTAGCATAAGTGCTTGAATATATCAAAGCTTATGTAACGGAACAAGAAATTACCTGTATCATTACAGCATTGATGTAATCTGTCACGTTCGGTAATTGTGACTGAAGAAAGGGTCTGAACTTGTCCGCTTTAGAAAATACAAAGAATATAGGTTAATCATGTAATCATGTAACTAGGTAATCAATGGAAGAATTAAAAAAAAAAATCCTACAACTTCATCACACGAGGATGCAATCGGAGCTCAGAATATACATGAGTACACAAAATACACCAAATGATCTACCAAATGTTACTCTGACTGCATGCGATAATGGCGAATGTTAATTTTGTCAAGTCGTAAATCGAGTATTTTAACAATACATTGATGAACGATGACGTCATCTATAACGAAGCACGCGTTATCATCTTTGGGTCAAGTACAGCCGTGCTAAAACCATGACAATTTTCGGGTTTCTAACGGTTCATTAAACATTGTGCATGATGTTTCCATGACTGTATTTGCAATAGTGCTGAACTGATGCTGATGAGTGGTATATCATTGAAACACCTTGCCGGAAGCACACAGTGCAGTGAATTACAATGAACATCAAGCAAAGGCCAGAAAAGTATTATCACTCAAAGCGTTAAATATATATTTCGATATCGCATTGGCAATCATCGTAAGCAGTGCGAGCTGCAACCTTTGCAATTCAATAGATTACTGTAATGACATACCTGCTAAGATATCCTTATTCCGGTTCTTTTCCAAATTTTCTTCATGTAATGCAGCTTTAAAACAACTTGGGGAGTAGTTTGGAGTTAATGTTTTTAATACCTGCAACAACAGAAGAGTCATCATAGGAGAAGAGAAAAGCATCATGATGGTATTATTAATCGGTGATTTGCATCAAAGACATTCAGATTTCAAGGCAAATTATACATGCTGAATCCAATCAAAAAGCAGATGTCCAACCTTAAATTCCTGATGAATCTTTGTCTGATTCGCTGGTGTATTTGTAGGACACATTGTTGACAGGACAGCAGGGAAATTCACTCGAACAATGAGTGATTCTTGTAAATTGAATCCTTCTACAAGTAATTCGTGCAATGCGATGTACTGTTCCTGTAATTAAAACAAATAACTGTATTAGTATGAGTGCTGCAAAATAGTTTCAAAAAAAAAAACAAAAAAAACATTGATTGAACGATTTAAGTTTACTTCACAAAGGTTGTTCATGGAAACAGCTTAATACATTGCATTGGTAATAGTCAGCGTTACACTAATTAATATAAGTAACTTGGATGTAAGTATGTTGCAGTTGGTGGTGAGTAATTAGAATGAAATATATCACAACGTCAAAATTCAAAAGCAATGGACAGCTGGACTATCAGTTGGCAAATAAAGTGGAAGTTATACGTTGTATCATGTAGCTTTGTTACTCGTTCAGGCACTACGTACATAAGTCTGGATCATGTTCATTCTGCCATTCCTCATCGTTCCGATGTATCTGGGAATGTCAACTTTTCCTGTGTTCTTGCCATGAGTAAGCAATTCGTTTAAACCGATAAAAGTACCAGTTCTCCCAATGCCAGCACTGTAAAATTAAGTTATAGGGCGAATTCGTTGGATTTCCAGCCAAATTGTCTATCAGCATTGCGAGATTAACATCTATAAAATGTCTAAACTCGTTGATGAAGGAATTAATCGGGACATTGGCGGGATCATTGTCATAATATCGTATCAAAATATATTTTTAAAAAACTGTAATAATATGGGTTTTTTTTAACTTTTTTAACTTGTTTATTTTAAATGGAGACGTCTCAAAAAACCGATGAGACCTGTTACTTGAATATGATTGATTTTGTTTATAGAAAAAATAACCAATGATGCTAGCGCTAAATTTAGAACCTCCGGTAACTGAACATTTTATAAATATATGAAATTGCGTTTTGTAAACAAGGCTTGATATGTCATGAGATTAAATGTATACCACAAGTCTATCGGAACTAACCTATGACTATAAGAAAAGTAAGAGCCCCGATTATTACTTAAAATTCTTCTAAACCTATTGCTACTACTATATTTAACTATAAGCAACACTTGTATTTAGATGATCTTCGGATAACTTCAGTATGTCCCTTTTATACACTAGCATGTAGTAAACTGGCAATCGACATAATATAAAACTGCTAGTATTTTGATGAGGCTGCAAAGTATTTACAGACACATATATGTATCAAGAATTCCAAGGTCCTCATTTTATTCATAGACGTTGGAAAATGATACAATGCAAGATGTAAAACCAGAACACTCTGGATAAAAAAACACACATTTTAGAGTGGGTGTTTTTAGGTCTATCATTCTAGACAATATAGCGGCTTGAAATCCAAACTGGAAACCCAACGTTAATTTGTATGTCTGGACCCAGCCGTCCGAGCCACACTCGATGCTCTGCATGAGATTAGTTTGAATTAATATCGGTAAAAAATCAAATACTCAAATAATTTCCTGTAAACACTATTGCATATACTGCTTAAATAAGAAGTCAATGACCTTAGCGGTCACCTGATATATATATATAGGTAGTAGTAGCTCAATTTCATTGTTGAGATGTGATGTGGAAATCCACACGTAAACAAAGTGAAATTCAATAATGGTCATCTAACCAAAGGATAACGATTTTAAAAACTATTCAAATACATTTTTTTTTTTTTTTTTTTTTTTTTTTTTAACCCATTTTTTTTTTTTTTTTTTTTTTTTTTTTTAAGCCAATTTTTCCTTTTTGGTCAATCCCTGGGATAGGTCTTACTTTCTGATACTTTTTGATTTCAGTTTCTTTAAAACTATTCCAACCAGAATTATTTCCTGCTGAAAATGGACAAGTTATGTAGTCAGAAGTGTTAGTTCCCTATATAAACCAATGAGAACAAATTACCAAAGGGTAATAAAACTAACAATTTATATAATGAACTGATAAGGGCATTTCCATCCATAAAATAAACTTGATTCTTGTACATCTGAGTGCAGAAATAGTTTAAATATGAACAATTTCCTCATTTTTGGTTCACCCCTCCATCTCCTGTGGCAAGGCCAGATTTTTTTATACCGTTTAGTTGCCATATTGTACCCTAAACATGTTGTTTACCGGGTACCTATATAAACTATAGTAAACTTACTCACTCCCAAAGGGAGAATAGATGACCAGGGGTGATACAATTTACAATTTAGCTAATGCACCTCAGGACCTTTCTATCCAAGAAGAGTATTTGTTTGTAAAACATCCGAGTCTGACGAAGAATTATGTTTTAACCTTTAACCATTTTCCCCCATTAGGGCCCCATCACCCAAGCCCCTGGGCATGGGGCAGGATTTTATTTTCTCATACCATCTAATTACCATCTGGCACCATAATCATTCCAACCAGGGTTGAATGATTTCCTGCTGAAATTGGACAAAATATATCCTAAAATGTGATTTCGCTATATAAACTGTAGTACAATTTTAACCCTCCCCAATGGAGAACCGATGGGCCGGGGTTAATGCAATTTACAATTTATTTAATATCCCTGATGACCTTTCCATTCATGCAGAGAAATAAACTGTAATATCTCTGAATCTGAAGGATCTGGCCCCTGGAATTGGGACAGGAGTTTCAACTTTATAATTTAATACTGTCTTGCTCTAAGAAATGATTTTCATCAAGTAGGAATAACTTCCTACGGAAAATTGACAAAATATACCCAAAAATATGATTTTTCCCTATATACACCATAGTAAACTTTACCCCTCCCCAACGAGGAACAGGTGGTCCAGGGATACTGAAATTTACAATTTAAATAAAACTCACAATTATTGTTTCATCCATGCAGATAAATAGACTAGAACATCTGGATCTGGAGAAGAAGATTTTTGAAATATTTGTTAATTTTCCCTTTGGGGCCCTGCTTTGGCACCTATGGTTAGGATAGGAGTCCCAATTTCACCGTTTTGTAGTCCATTTTTTACGAGCAGTAATCAAAAATGTAAAACAAATGACGGGTAACGATGGACGGAAAGCGATCAGAATAGGTCACTTGAGCAAAGCTCAGGTGACCTAAAAAGGTAGGCATGTTCAAAAGTATTATTTAAAAATATTACAATTTTTGATCAATAAATCGTAGCTTTTCAGGCATATGTATATCAATCTTTACGTTTGATGGAAAGTTTAATCGAAGTGCTGTTGGCGTAGCCATGGGGACAGACTGGGCACCACCGTTGACTGACTTATTTATTCCTTCATAAGAGGTTTATTTACAGAAAATATTGACATCATGCATTTAAAAACAGGGACGTTACCAATCCAACTACATCAGTCGCTTACCTTGATGTTTAATCTAGACATGATGTTGCGGAAGGCTTATTGCTACATTTATAAGATATTGAGTACACGTTAGACATTTTACTATTTCAACTTTCCGAGCTTATGAAGTTATAATCACAGGACCATTTCCCTTGCTACGGCGCTTAGATTTTTATATTCACGAGCTTGAAATGATAATCGGAATGTCCATAATAAATGTCAAATTCTGAAAGACGAATAGAACAATGTTTTGAGAGATGTTTGAAATGCAAAGGTAGGGATTTTACGTCATGATGTTATATAACGTCATCACTTTCTGTGTTGTCCTATCAACATAAATATGCAGTTCCCCTGTTGAACCATCTAAATAGGTGAAAGAGCTAGTAGGAACTAAGAAACTCTTTTCAGTTGTTTTGTATATATACATATTATATTCAACAGCAAAAAGACAGGATGTATATTAACTATTAAAGTTTGAAATATACTAAAATACAATCAACAAGCTGGGCACTTTATAAGCGTTTTTGTGTTTTGTATGACGTCACACGGCGGTCGAAGAGGACGAGCTCCAACGAGTCCGGAGTTCCATGGTCAGGCCATTTAGTAAAATGAAACTGATGGACCATACGCGCTTCTTTTGTCTACAGTGAGGATCATCAGATGCATCAGAGACAGTAATGATCAGCTCACTAATGTTTATCACTTGCATTATGAAGAATAAACAATACTATTTCATGTTGGTTACACAATGATGTTAAGTGAAATCAATACCTTTTTGTGGGTGATTGAAATGTCACGGATGACATAGAAGGCATAGATCATCTCTCTGTCAAGTTTGAGCTCAAATGTCGGTGTTACAAGTGATTTTCGTTCATCAGGCCAGTATTGGTGACTCTTTACCTGTAGAAATACCCAAAGCAAGTTTGAGATGGATAAACAAAATTGTACTTACAGTGCACAAATTTACAAGCAGTAGAAAAAATATTTGCAAACCTTCACAATATCAATTTTTTTCCCCTTTTATTAACTTTGAAGGAATTAGCTAGTGTACTAAAAATGCATGTACACAAGCATAACAAAATACATACATTGCGACCCTCCACGAGGTTTGTCAGCATAACAATCTTCCCTGAATTCACATGCCATACCATCCTCCAAAAGTCGTCCATGGTGTTTGGCTTCGGTCCTTTGTTTATAAATTGGGACGAAATGACGATTATTATTGGATTTTCGATTGATATGGTTGTACATAACGGATTGTCTCCCTTTGTTCAGAAGAAGCATTTTTTTTTTTTTTTTGTATTTGTGTTCAGTTTGTATGCAAACGCGTTTATGATCAATGCCGCTATTGTTTGTTGTTTAAACTATTTTTCAGTTGGACAGTTTTAATAATAACATAAGCTCACTTGCCCTTTGGGCAGGTGAGCTAATAAAAAATGCATTCAAACGTATGGTACATAAAGAATTGTATAATACCTTGACTTGCAATGTACGCTTTTTCGTTTCCAATACCCTGTAATAGATCGATTCACAATATCATTGTAATTAATATAACACGGGTAAAACCTACTATACAGTATATTGTGTAGTCAATATAAAACCTGACAAATTAAATGTTTTTTGTTTTGATTTTTCGTTTTGGAAAAAAAAATGTCGTAATTCAAACTTAAAGTTACATTAAATTATATATCCAGTGTAAATTAATTGTCACTTGTAACCACATGTGTTACCTTATATTTGTTCAATAGCAAAGCGTCGAACACATCACAAACGAAAAACAATAATCTTACCAAAATCACCAGCATTGCCTTTATATTTATGTTACAATCAATATCAAACAGCTCCATTTCGCGGACGACATACGTACATCAATATAATTTGCGTTGATGTAGCTTGTATCGATATCCTTGCCGTTTGTATCCAGTACGACTCTGGAATGGTCATCTGCAACATAGGTATATACTTACATGTAAACCAATGTATGCGAAACAAAATATGTGAATTCATCAATTGTTTTTTTTATATAGTATATCGTCATTTGACATTTGTTATGTTCATGTAGTTTAACTGATTCCGAAAATAACTCTGGTATTGTGAAGAGTATCGATGTGTTACATAAATTGAAAATTTCTTACATGGGAAAGTGCTCTTGAATCTGTTCTTTGGTTTATTCTTTTTACCAGCCTCGTGTGGATGTACCGGTCCCCATGGAAACGTCTAAAATCAATGTTAAGTGAAATATGATAATATGTAAGAACAATAGTGTGTCCACGGTATCGAAGTATCAACCTCAAGAGCATCTAAGGATATGTTTGAATCCTTCTTAATGAAATAATTTGCTATTAGTGCTGCTCGATGTTGTTACTAAATATATCATCAATTGACGGTGAACAGATGCATCAATACCTGAAATTCCTCCTGAAATGCTGCCGCTTCATTCACAATTTTGCTATCGATGATAGACTGCAGTTCATGAATAGGGACACCGGTGACATCAACATTGTTATAGATGACGTCATCATCATCTTTTGAGTCAATGTCGTGGACGTTCACGTAAACCTGTATATCTTCACATGTGGTATCTTCAATATCTAACATTCGTATTAAAGAAAAACTGGATACTTGAGGAAATATTTTTTTAACAAATAATAACAAGTATCTTACTTGCATTTGTATATGCTGTATACAGAAGATCCGTCATTTGTTTCCCTTCATATTAGTTTGATGATAAAAAAATGGATATTTCATGTTTGCAGGCCACTGAAAAATCCAAAACGAGTATCATAAACCTGATATGAGGGGAAACGAATGACAGATGTTTTTATCATATGATACAAAGTAAACTGTATAGTTATGATTTGAAACGACTATTTTGCACTTAAACGGAGTGATATTGCACACGTTACATAAACATAATTTATGTGATGGCTTTACGACACTAATTAACACGGTATTCATATGCTACATACATAAACGCTCATATAGGAAATACGACAATGACAATACTAAGATACTGTTTGACCCAGTCAAATGTTATCCTTCACATTTACATAAAGCAACTTTTTAATGACATTAATACGTGGTAACTTATATGTACAGCATTTACCTCCACTATGTGTTTGCGTGTCTGACGTTTCAAATGGGAATGGTGAACACTCTACATTTCCAAACGTTTTGCCTCTGTCTTCACGGTGAATTTCCTTTTTGTGTTTTGGTAATCGTTTTCTAAAAATACAGACATGAAACAAAATCGAAATGTTAACGTTCAATAAATATTAAAATAGCATCAGCCATGGTTCACGATACAATTACCATGAATGCATACCTTCTAAGGATGATGACAGTTGCTATAACAACAAGAACAATCACAATCACTGCCCCAATACCAGCCCCAGCGTACGTTCCTGTTTGGTCGTATGAGACTTCCATTACCATCTCTGAAATGAACACAGGTGTGTTGATGCAATGACAACTCTTTTTCGATCAATGTATATGAAATAGGTATTACATATACTATCCTAGTTTCGTTATATCCATATTGCCTATTATAATAAAATCTGCATTAACCAGGTGAAATATCACATCATGGTTTTGAAAATAAAACAAAATAAAACAAAATACTTGTAGTGCACTGCTCTCCTTCCCAGCCATGTTTACACCCGCATGCCCCTTGTGCCATGTCGCTACATAAGCATTGTCCGTCAGACTTGCTGCATGACACAGCACTGCACTGCCCACAATTCTCTTCACAGTTAAGTCCAAAATATCCACTCTTACAAGCTAATAATACAAATTGAAGTAGAGTAATTGCAAAAACAAATGAGTTCGGGTATCACATGATATTATAAAAATCATCTTTATTGGAATGGATTCAAATAAGATTTGTGAAGCTCTTAGATATAATCTATTGAACCGAAAATAAAATATCAAAAGATAAAGATATTTCAGGTAAAACATTTTGATTACAATTGAAGATAACGAAATGAAGCAAAATATACATGACTATTTGTCTTTTACAATAAAAGTACGTAATTTGAATTTTACACATTAAACTATCTGTTCTATACATGATTAATAGCTTAGTCATAGATACTTTGACAATATGTTCTGTACGTTATTGTTATGTCAACTGTACCTATGCACGTTCCGTTGTTCTGTTGGCATTCACAATGACCAGAACATGACCTATTACACTTTAGTCCAAAGAAACCAGGTTCACATGCTACAATACAAATATTTCATGTTTTACACATACGCCTCCTTTAATACATTACACATTATGCCAAATCAAAAGGGGTAACGCTATTATGTTCTAATTTAAATTAAGTTTACTAACCCTCACTATTTCAACCCGATTGACTGCATATCCGGTCATTGGTCAAAATAATTAATATCAAAACGTAATATTTTACGCTACACAATACTATCGCATGCACTCACGTCTCGACTATAAACAACCTGATAGGTTATGGTCGACTACTAGTAACACTCTTATTTGTTCGGTCATACAAGTGTTATGTTTTGATTGGTTCATTGTGGCAGGTTCTCTACATAACCTATTTAGGGAATGTCTTTTATTCCTGGATCGTCTCAAATTGAATAGAATTAATCTGGTCAACAAAATTCGGGATTATATTAAAAATGTTACAACCTACACCATTTATGATCACCATGAAACACCTGACGATTAATGAGTCTTCCGCTAAAATAGCCAGGAAGATCCTCGTAGTTTTCCTTGGCTTTGTATTATCTTATTTCTAAAAGAAAACGTCCCTAGATGCTATTCGTATGTAAACTTTAAACGTATGCTTAATGCAGTCAAACCTCGATGCAACAGTACGGACCATTACAGGATTACGGAAAAACTTATAATTATATTATTTAACTTTTGTATCTTCATCTGTACCATGACATGTTACCATACCTGTACATAACCCACTGGTCTGATTACATATATCCCCTTTACAATTGGACGGACAGCTTGTGTTGCAGATATCACCATAAAATCCAGGTTTGCATGCTTAAATAACAACACCAGCAGTCATTTGAGACTACATACATACATCGTTATCTTTACACAAAAGTATAGATAAGGTATATGTTCAAAATAGATAGTACTAAAAGAGACACAGGCTTGAATATAACATGTAAAATATTTTATCTTCAAGAATATTTAAATCTAGTCAAATATATGAAATTATATAAATAATTCAACCACGTAACTCTGAGCATACAAAACAAACATATAAATACCTCTGATTTGATTTGTATAATTGTCTTTCATCCTTTTTCTCCCCTTATTAGTTTTGTTATGAATACAAAATATTACAGAATACCTTAAAAATGTATCCTAATGACAAAGTTATTATACCTGTACATGTCCCTTCATGTTGTGTGCATATGTTGTTTTCACAACTAGAGGAACATAAACGATCACACTTCATCCCGTAGAAGCCGTCCAAGCAAGCTGAAAGTACACACATATGTGAAACCTAAATTTCTGTTTGTAATTGCAATCGTTATAAATGCTCATGTGCGATATATTGAATACGAAATTATTGCAACGATTTTACCTGAACGTGAGTAAAGGTATCTTTGTTTTTGATGTGAGGAAGCAGGGGCAGGAAAATCGTCAGGTGTGAATTAGGATGCAGAGCGGATAAGGACAAGGTAGTAGGAAACAAAACGGGTCCTGGGAACAGATATGTTCATGTAATTGTTTTGACAACTTCTAACAGTGTCCTCATAATCATAATTATAATAATATAATAATTAGAGGTTCTTATATACCGCTTTATCACAACCGAGTTCGTAGGTCGTCTCAAAGCGGTTAACAACTTATTATCAGTGGTCACAGGGCCGTTTCCAACCAGCCAATATCTTTCTCAACTTCCTGGGGAGCATACAGCCGGTGCTGCCAGTTCGGCGCTCACAGATAGCATTCAACATATCTAGCACTGCCCAACCACGTACTCATTTACAGCTAAGTGGACTGTAACTAGCGGCGTAAAGTGAAATAAAGTAACTTGCTTAAAGATGCAACACAGTGCTGTGTGATGACTCGAACCCGCAACCCTTCGGTCACGAGTCCAGCGACCTACCACTACAACACCTTGACTTCTAGAGCTTGGTAATATTTATGAAAGATTATAACTAATCATCTGGCAAATGTGAATACATATCTATGAATTGCACTCAAAGCAGTCATGTATCTTGGAAAGGGGTCCACACTAGACACATCTTACAACATGCATTTTGATATATCATGTCATTTATTTCCCCGTAACTATTCAGGTTAGCTGTTGCCATAATCTATAGATCCACGGTGTTTCTAGAGCATGATGCACATATACGCAGTTTACAAATAGAAGAAGGATGGCTTAATAAACTTTGATGGAATGAAGTTAACAAGTGGGCATTTTAAAACTCTTTTTATAAAGATTTATTTATCTTCGCTTGGTTTATGTTTAACAGTAATAACAATTCGGTAACAGCGACAATGATATATATCTTATATATTCTCTGAACTTTTTTCTTTACTGGAATTTAAACTAATGATGAATACGAAAAAAAATATACTGACAATATGATTTCATTGACAATTGAAGCAACCATTACACTCAGAAAAATAGATTATGGAATATATTGAAATATAAGCCATCGGTGAGTAGATCAGATGCTCTTTTTAAAACACTTACGACTACAATTTCCAGATATTTTGTCACAGACACGATTGATACAACCAATATAGCAGTCATCACAAGACGATCCGAAGAATCCATCCTCACAGTCTGGTCATTGCAAAAAAAAGGAAGTTTATTTAGTTTCATATTGACATTTCACAACATATTTACATACAACATAAATTTATCACATATGGAACAACCATGAATTGTATGCATGTCAAACATATATTTATAACCACTTGTTCTGCAAAATAATGTTTCCTCAATTTGGTGTAATTCATTTTCATTTTGATGATCGGGAAGTATACCATCACCAAATCAAACTCGGTCCTGATATAAATATAGAATTATGAATTTTAGTTTCGGTCTATTTCTGATTGATGGACCTGGTCTAAACAATATTCACCGAGACCGAACTATATCTCTCATTTAAAGACCAGGTCTAAACAATATTTAACGAGGCCGAAGGCCGAGGTTAATATTGTTCATATCAGGTCCCGTAAATCAGGGATAGAACGAATATTAAGTCCACAATTGTTTTATAATATGTATGACATTTTACAATGAGATTATTATTTTTTCATGTCATAAACACATTGGTGCCATGAACTATTTTGGAATCACAGTGAAGGAATTCAAACACCAATAAATGATATACAACTTTAGTTTCAATTCATCTAATTTCAAGTAAGTATAAATTACACATTCGACATCATCAATAACAACACAAAGTTCAAAATTTAATGAGATACTTTGTTTTTAGTTGAACTCAGTAACATGATTTGTAACAGATTTACAGACTGGCTGAGAAATTGACCAGGCCTACGTATAGGTCGAGGTCTGTAACACTGTTCTATTCATAGAACGAGGTATGTAACAGATTTACAGACTCATCACATGGCATCGTTCCTCTAATCAGAGTAGGGAACTAGCACCAGTCATATAATAAACAACAATGATGTAAAGTTGTATGCGTACTTCTACCAGAATGCGTTTTATGTTATACTATATTTCTGCTATGTGCTTTTTTCTACATATTTCATTATTATCTTGATAACCTAACTAGATTCGCAAAGATCATGCTAATTTTACCGAAAACCTACGTAAAGAGCCAATAGCTGTGCAGATTTGAGCTATATGGATTTTCCTCTCAGTTGTAGGGCTTCACATTTTGCACCATTAGTAGAGTTTCCGTATCCTTTAAATCGTCATTTATTAAACTTTTTTATTTTTTTATTTAAAGTAATCTGTCTGATCTTTGTAAATATGGCAAAGAGTATATATTATATATGAATTATAAAAATCACATTATAATCTTAAAATAAAACATTTCTATACTTGTTTCCATATTTTCCACTAATACATACCTTCACACTTTCCACTGCTTTGCAAACATCGGTTGTCTTTACAGTTGAACAGACAGGTCTGATTGCAATGGCTACCATAATACCCGGGAGTACACGCTTTCATGGAAAATCACAAAGATAAGTCACAATCCAAAAAAACTTAGTTTTAGGTCATACATTGTTACTGACAATGTGATTGTACTCAATGGTGCTTGATACATGTATGTTTCGAAATAACACTAAACAAGACAAAGTGATTATTGTGAACCGAATCTTATCTTTTTACTATAAAAGAATGAAATCATAACATAATGTCATTAAGTTAATAAATATATATAAGCAACATATACCGTAGATGTTGTATCATTATAGAATTAAAATGAATGTGTGTTCCCACAGCGAATGCAATACATGTCTTTTAAGAATTATTATTAACACATAATGTAAAACAAAAATGAATTCCAAATGACTGATGATTTAAACTTAACTAAAGTACCACGAATCACTTAGCAGAACAAACACCGGTTCTCGTTAATGATAAACTGATTTGGTTTCTCTCTTTCCACAGGCAAATGGCATGTTGTATTTTTTTCCAACTGAACATTTATAGCTTAAGATATATATAATTACATGCACATTCACCGGTCACCGGATCACACAGGGTATTGGCACACCCTAAATTACAATCTGAATCACAATTACGATCACCATACTTCCCAAGTGGACAACCTGAAATATTTTAGCAAACAAGATCGGATATGAGCCAATCTTTTTACAATTTAAAACAAAATATTAAAATATATCTAACAAATATGTATTGTTCTACCATTGGCCAGATCCCTTTGATGTAGAAAATTCCTTTATATGTCACATCTTCCATAATGTTATAATGATGCACAAGAATGTATACTAACTTGTTTATTGCAACATAATTAACTGGCTTGTAGACATACAAAAAATAACAAATGGCAAAGACGAGTATTGAAATGCAAGACACCAGCCATGTTATTGACAAAAAATATACAGTGGAATAATTACTTTAAGTAAATTGTAAATATGCGTACATAGTTAACCATTTACTTTAGACAGGGATTCATGAATATTTATTTTTGTCTAAAATACGACTTCTGAAAGTTCCATTATCCCTCAATATTTTCTACCTGTGTGAAATCAATTTTTTAAGGTTAAATATGTCAGTTACGTACCGAACACTTCTACCTCACAAAGCTCCAGAATAGCGTTACTAGAGTACCACGATATACCTCCTGACCGTCTGTCGCTGTATATTGTCAGGTACTGGGCGCTTCCTGTACATTGTATCTGGGGAGTCAATGACAACGCAGCCGCCGTTACTGTTGTGTCTTTATGGCAAAGGGAACCGTTCCGCCAATCCGACGTGTTCGACTGGTATATTTGATAGCCACCAAATCGTTGTCGTTGCTGATACACTTGATCTGAATTTGATAAACAAGATTTTTCACTAGAGCTTATGCGTATATACCGTTTTTACGAAGGACTATTTTCGCGTTTTCGCCAGGAAAACAACCACTGCACGTTCTCTAATAGGCGACCGATGCAGAAATATCATGCGGAATTAGGGATTTTCATTTGTTTTCTCTTTTTGGGATACAACTTATTCAGCATACATTTTTACGTTCGGTCTCGTTATATTTGTATTTCCATTCCAACTCTTTTTTGGCGCCCTCCTTTGCAAAACTTACCGTTTTGTTCTTATTAATAACCATGTTTTTTATCTTGATAACAAAACATCTTTCTATCGGTAATGTTTCTGTTACGTTTCATTAAATTGTTATATTACATTAAAGCATGTATAAAGGGAGGAATCATTGATTATATGTTGGTTGTTCTTATAAGTACATACACATGTATCGACCGTTGTCGTGTGTTAACGTATACACAGAAAACCGAGTCAGAGCACAAGTACTATATACTAGTATTATACACAACAGTCCATCGTTAAAAAACAATAATCAATCAGGGTCTATATAAAACAGTCTTATAGACAAATTTGGTGTAGAGACGACTCATTAGTCAGAATGTCGACTTGATGGAAAGCATTACAAACAACATAGACAACCTAACATGCTTATTGTATACGATGTACGTCATTGGATGTACACTGCATTTTGCTTTTGTATTATTATGATAAATGATGTCAAGCTATTTTGGTTGTTTTTACCATTCTAGGGGTAGGCCCAACGAGCCGTTTAACCATTTATAGCTATAAATAAATGTCCTTCTATACTTAATTATGTAAATATCGTTTTTGAATGTCAAATATATATAATCTCAATTCCGGGATCAACGACTTCGCAATAACCGCTGCCATATGAAGACAGTAGGGATGGGGATGGAGGTAGAATTACATTAGTCGTTTTTCACGACATGCAGTTAGACAATGCAATACCGTCTAAAGGTCACGAAAAACACGTTACAGTAACAAATAACATAATTTTGTTTTAATATTGAATAAAAAAACAAAATATTTGATAACTCACCTCTGTAGTATATTTTGACGTATTCCATAACGATCAGTCCCTCTAGATCTACTTGCCACCATGCCTCCATTTGACCTGTCTGTGTATGTGAGCAACAGTTTTGGAAATCGAAGATTTGTTTTCTACAACCATCTACTGCCTTACCACTAATATATGCAGCACTGTGGTTTGAACTTTGAGTGGTGGTTTTGGCATTTGGCTCACGGCTGGTGTTAACTGTAAAATAATAAATTATTATTGTGTATATAACTGATCTAAAGTACTAATCATTGTCACTATTCTCAGCATTGCAGGGTCATCAATGTGTTGCGGTGGTAAAATCAAGTATTAACAGACACAAATAATGAGCAGAAATAAATGGAGAACCGATATTAATAAAGGTAAAAGAAGTATCAAATAGACCAACAAAAAAGTTAGAAAAAGGAACCAGGACTTTGTTATTATAGTGATGATTTCCTTTTCAACTTATTTTTACTTTTATTTGAAACAGCTAATTATAATTATCCATTTTTTTTCTCCGTTTTAAAATAAATGATACAACTCATATGCAGCTAATTAATATAATTTAAAAACAGCCATAAACGAACAAAAACAGTTATTACCTATGAAATATTCTGATGCTCGTGCATACCCCATCGGCTAGCTTGTAACCGAATTATATATATGCCAAAATATTCATCTTGAAGACGTGAGATCACGTAAAAAATCAGAATTTGTGAATTAAGCTTTTGAGAAAATATAACGCCGTAGTTATTCGTGTAAGCACGGCGTTAAAATCACTGCGAGAGACCCTTCTCTTCAAATCCAAATGGCAGACTTGGTCGCTCCCACTCGACTAGGTATCAAACAGAGGTCAATGATTGTAAATGTGGAATAATATGACCGTAACTTGATAAAAAATGTTTTTATAATGATTATAAATTATAATTGTTATAATAGAGTAAGTAATTTAATAAACGTGTGAGAAAAATGCATTGAATATGTACCAACAAGAGATAACAAAAGTCCGAATGGGTCTACAGCGCCCACCCGGTATTGATCTCACACTTGTAACCTTAAAAGTGACCTAAAATAAAGCTACAGGCAAAATATATAAGTATCTATGGCTATACGTTATTCAAAAGAACATGTTAAAAGATTTTAAAACGTTTTACTCCTGTGACATTGAAAGTCGAACAGGGTCATCAAACGGAACAAAATGTATAGCCCCTTATCTCAGCATGCAACTTGCCAATTATCA